CAGCAAATAAAGCCAGCAAAAAAGATAGAATTACATATATAGAGATAGATATTTGTGTCAAGCGAACAGTAGGCAACGCAAGTAAAGTGTGTGAATAGCTATGAATTATAGTGTGTGTTTATAAAAGTAGTTAAATTAAAGTGACTGTGGAAATTCTGTGTATTACAAAGTTGTATCAAGAAAGAATAAACTAGTTTTATTTAAGAAAGGACCTGTATCGCTGAAGTTCCTCGGAAAGAATTTATACCAGAAATTAACAAACGAACAGAGACGTAACAATTCTATCAAAATAACGACTCTACGTGTTTCAACGTGTCACACGTTATCTTTCTGAAATTATAGTCATATTGACCAAGATTGTGTACACTGGGGTTAACTTGCCACAGTATCACATCAGATATAAATCAGTTTTTCTCTTGCATTATGTGTCATGTAAAATCTATCAGGATTTCATCCTTTGTAAAATGATTAAAATGAAGCAAATGATTAAAAAATTAAAAATTTCAAATTAGGAGAATTGAGAACATGTATTTGAAAACTTCCCTCATCAGAACAGAATAAACAAATGAATACATTGTTTACACAATTTTGATACAAAATCTACAGTAATGTTAATCTCACCTTAGAATTTGTTTGCTTCTTAGCTCCCTTATTTTCTAAAACATAGTCACTGTCATTGTCAGATTGATCCCCTAGCAAATTGCTGTCAGTGTCCTGAAAAAAAAAAAAAAAAGATAAAAAAGTTGTAAAGAATGTTTACCTACACATGCATGTTGTGAATGCATAAAGAAAAAACATAATAGGGGAGGGTCACACAAAACAGTCAAAATACTTTACTCACAAACTAACATTCACACACATGAAATTGTGAACATTGCTCAAGTAAAACTGTTTACAGTTTCAAAAATAGCTCAAAATTATCAAATAATAGACATGCTCAAGACACTTCAAACAAAATATTTTACACCTGGCATAATATTTGCAAAAGAAAAATTATTTAAAAAAAAACTTTTTTTTTTCATTTTAAAAATGTATAGGATGTATTGGTTTGATCTATTTCTAAGTGTTACTTTTAACAACTTTAGCATCATGCAGTCACATTACAAAATTATTACAAAAGTACCTTACTGTTCTCTTTGATCTATGAAAAATAAAATTGTCAGCAAACAAGAAGTTCAACTATCAATTATAAATACATACCACAATGACACTCAAAAAAAGTACCCGTCACAATGTTTTTTAGGGAATGAAAAAAAAAATAGAATGCTTATTTATTAATTTCTCCACACTACCTCAGCACTGTCTGACATGGCTTTCTTCTTTTTCTTCTTCTTTTCTCTCTTTCTTTCTCCATCTCCCCTTGCTTTTCTTTTCTTTCCTCTCTCTTTCTTTGGCTTAGGTAGTCTTTCTGGTTCATCTAAATCCTCCTCTTCATCATCATCAGGAGGAGCCAATTCTTCTAGCTGCTCTACTGGTTGTTCCTCCTCTTCATTTTCACCATCAGCTTCATCTTCATCATCTCCATCCCCCTGGTCATCAGGATTTGTTTCTTCATCCTGTTCAAGGTCATCTCCTTCACCATCTACATCATCACAAAACCAAAGTTACTGCATCTCTGTCTAAAATATAAACTTTTATCTGTATCTCACAAATAGCAGATGTACCCATGTGATGCACAGAGAGAGGATTATGAAAATTTGTTTTTGAAATATGACAATGACTTGATTATTTAAATACAATTTTCTATTTTAATTTGTTTTTTTTTGTTGTTTTACCAAAAAGCAGAAAGTAACATGTGACCTAAAAACATCTCACTTAATATAAGTTTGTCTATCTTGTCTATAGTATGTATAAAGAATGTGTGAAAAAGAAATTCTTCAAATGATTGATAGAATTTTAAAAACAAAAATGAAATTATAGAATTAATGTTTTACCAGTTATGAATATAATAAATAGTGTTTTTGTCCTAAATATGCCAGTAATGATAGAAAGTACACAGACTGTATGTATACCCGCGTAATGAAAGAGGAAACTGGATAAATTCCATCAGTACCCATAGTGGCCACCCCCAATGACAAATCTATATTTAGCCAGCACTGGAACTAAGAAATCTATGTATTTTAAAAGAAAAATAACTTCTTGTCACATCCTAAATCATTCCAATTTGATTAAACAATATTTGACAGGTCCAAAAGCCTAGGAGGAGTTAGAAGACAAACATACTTTTTTCAAATTACAGTACAGTTACTAATGTAATTTTCTCTCGTTGACACTGTGGTTACATGACCAGCTCTGCTAACAAGAAGATGAGCTTGCTTAGCCAGCCCAGTGAGCCCTGATATTGGGTGAAAGGTCTCGTCAGACCTGGATATAGCAGATGTAGTGTAGTTGACATATTATAACATATTTTTATTTGTCTTCACTCATGGGTTATTAGAATTCTTAATGCCTCAATAACTTAACAGTACACAAATATATAATGCACTTTACAATTTTCATCCATTATTTTAATGTACAAAATTATGAATAGTCACCATAAGTGACAAAATAATATATTATATAACATACAAATCATTACTTCAACTCAACATCACCATAATTTAAAACAATCTAACCCATATTAAAGTGTCTTTATATCACAAGTTTATTCACTTCTTAAACTTGAAAAATGACTGAAATAACTTTTTATTTATTCCAGTGCTGTTTATACTTCATGCTACATACCATTCTAGTCTTGTGTTAAAATTATTGCAAACAAATTTGCTACTGATTTATTTGTTTTTAATCTTGCATAAGTAATAAAACACAATTATGGTTTATTATGAATTTCGTGCAAAGCTACACGAGGGTTATCTGTGCTAGCTGTCCTTAATTCAGCAGTGTAAAACTAGAGGGAAGGCAGCTAGTCATCTAACAACGTAAAATTAAAATGAGTATTATGTGGAATGATCATTGTAGTAAAATAATAAAATTAATACATAATAGTAAATATATATTATAACAACACTGTGTGTGTGTGTGTGTCCACACTGTGGTAAAATTATCAATCTTTCAGGCCAATGTCCAAATAGAAGCATGGCAAAATTTATACTTGCCTCAGTCAACTTAGTAGATTTAAGTTAGTTCTAAAATCTACCAACTAAGCTTACAATGCAAAATAATATTCATAATGATATTTGTTTCTCATTTATAAAGCACAGAGCTACACAATGGGCTAGCCGTATTGTGCCTACTACAGTTTTCAATTATAAGTTTACAGGCTTACTGCTGAGACATGGGGGTGGGAAGGCTTTCATGATAATAATAACAGTAATATTAATAATAATTAAATATATAATATATTAGTTACAATAAATGAAGTCAACTGATATGAAGTCAACAAATTCATACAATTACACTAGTAAAATATATAAAACAAAGACGCTGTCTTAGAATCCACAGTAAATACCTCACTGAAAAATGAGAGTTAAAAAAAAAAGAATAGAAAGAGACAAACTAGTTAACACATACCTAACTACAGAAGTATTTAACTATTGGTCTGGCTCTGATGTTATTTCATGAATTCTGTAACTTACACCTTAAATGTCTTCCATGGTCAACCCAAGGTTGAAATATCTTACTAGGAATAATATTATATCCACAGAAAGTGACACAACGAATAAAATCTCATATAAAGATCAGGAAGAGTTCTAACTTTCTAAAACAGACAGTTGTCTTAAGAAGATCCCAATATGTGATTTTGATAAGGTAGCTTTTGTAATGAAGAGCAGGGGTATATGGACAAATCCCGAAATGATGTCTGTTACAAAAGTTGTAGATTAAAAACGAAAGACAGAGAAAGATAAATATAATAAACATAAATAAAATGGGTGCACACTTATTAAAGTAATCCATACACTCTGAAAAGAAGGTTTGTACTAAGGATGCTTAAAGAGAGTTTAAAAACAAATCACAATCATAAGGAATCTTCAATACTGCAAATAATCATAGTTCGTAAGTAAAATCTGGAACAAATAAAAAGATTCAACTGATAGATGGACATCAACACCTATAGGGAAACTTTCCAAGTAAAACTAACAGATACCACAAGCTACATATCCAAGTTTCTTATTTAATGAAATAAAACCTAAAAAAAAAAAAGATGTTACAAAAACCTTCAGTTATCCTATCACCTTGGCTACACATAGTGGACTTAAATAAACAGATATACAGAAATGACAATCACTGAAAAACAAAAATCTCTGTATAAGCTGAGTAACAACAAACTACCCTGAAAAAGCAAAACTTATAAGGTCAGAAAACTAACACAGTTGCACATTGCTAAAAGGTTTTTAGTAAAATTTGATAAAGTTTAAAAAGTACCAAAAACATCATATTCAAGCCATTTCTGGCAACAAAAAAATGTTCTGAATGGAATGAACCTTAACTGTTTAGCTATCAGTTACTAAAGGCATCACAGATAAAAAGAAAAAGGATTTTCAAAAAATTGGAAAAGGAGTCATTGATGAGTAAAGGTCCAGTGAAACACTTGGACCATAAAGGAAAAATGTAAAGTTTAACTTGTAATTTAAAATATACTCTCAATGCAGAAAGCTCAGAGGGACTTGAAGATTTTGTCACACAAGCATTGTCTTCTGCACCCGTCAGAGTTAAAAAAAGAAAAAAGAGATGAACAAGAATGAGCCAGTAGTGGAGTTGTTTCATTACAAAACTACTTTTTCAAGAACAGAACTTGATAATAGTAAATTGTTATGCCAAAAATGAGTTGCTACATAATGAAGACAATTAGAGATGTGTAAGTGATGAAACTGTCAATACCAGTAAAATTTAAAAGTTCCAAAAAGAAACTGAAGTGTGAAATAGAATCGAGCTGATCCGTGACGGCATACTAATCAAAAGCTGAACAACCAACCCATTTTTCAGGATATTTGGTCCCTAACCAGATTCAGAGAACTAAGAACAAGACAGGTTTTACGAGTTTTAATCATGTAACAAAAATTACAAAGACAGAAAATTAAAAATCAAACAAATGGTGCTACAAAATTTATTTGAAAAGTTGTAAGAGAAAAACCTATTCCCCCTTTTTTTTTGACACAATCTTTGGCAAACAAATCCATTCTAAGGATTATCAACATGGATAATATTCTAACATTTATTCTGAAATTCACATCATAAACTTCTAAATTCTGTTGTGAAATAAAATTATTTGTATTTTAAAGTACCATAAAGCAAAAACTGAAATGTTACTGATAAAAAAAAACAAAATTGTGAAAATGATATCAATAACTATTCCCCTCATTTAAACTAACTGTAAGCATGCATGTTTGGCATATATTAAAACTTGGCAACTCTTAATGAATGTAAAGGTAGTTGAAAATAATTTGTACCAATATCAAGTGTAAGTTTATAAGCAACTAAAGCTTTATTTCAAGGAAAAATATAAATCATTCATTTAACTTAATTAACAAAAATTAATATAATTATAAAACTTCTAGCTTTGTTCTGAGCAGTTCAAATGCTTTAATAAAACTAAGGAAAATTTCATATATTCAGTTTTAGTATATTTCTTTTAAAACTGTTCATGTTTTGAAAGTCAGTACTTTGCATAAAAACAGACATGTACACTGTAGCAGTCCACATTCAACATTTACGTGCAAGGTCAAATGACTTCACGTGAACTAAGACCACAGCTCCATGACCCAATTTTATTATGCGTACATGTTCTGGCCATAGCAACCAATTAAAATATTCAGTTTTTAATACAGAATATGTAATAAAAGTTTTAAATGATGATTTATCTATCTGGTCATTAGGTTTCAGTTTTGAATTCAATTTGAAATGTCCATATTTCAATATTACTCATAAGCAAATTTTAAACATTTTTCAAACTGTTACAAGCTTCAAGTCCACTTAAATAATTTTATAACAAGTTAAAAAATAATTTCTTTTAATAACATAAAAATTTTGTATTTCCTAGTCAACTTTTTTTTTGCAGTCTCAATAAGTGTTGTGAACCGAACATTATTTACACTTAACATCTGCACAAATGAGTCCTAGATTTAGTTCCAAAACCAAAACCCAATGTATCAAACACACAAGTTCTATCTAGAACTACAAGTTCTACATTAAGATTTTTAACCACACAAGAAAAAAAAGTATAAAGGGCAACAGCCCTGGTAAACAACTACAATCACTGTTCAGTCAAGCATTTGCAGTCAGTCTACTGTGGCATGCAACTCTTGAGAAAGGAGGCGCATACTGCAGTAAAAAAAGCCTATTAAATAACCGGTCACCCTCCAATTTGTAGGATGGACTGATCCAAAAATAAAAAGTATTCTAAGTCGTGTTGAGTACAGCTACTTTTATACCACTACATGTATGGGTTCCCTCCCAGCCCTCTTTTAAAATGGGACTGTACCAACCACAAAAGGCAGACAGCAGGCAATGGCAAAATCTTGGGCTGAAAGAAGTAAAGTTTGTTGTTTTTTTTGTATAACATTCATTATGGTTGCAAAATATACCTGCTTTAATAAAAATTCTTAAATTCAGATTTTCATTCGTACGTACGAATTTACTTAAGTT